AAGAATTCAGAATATATAATTTTTGTAGATTAAACCGAACTAATGAAAGATGAGAGAGAGAGGTAAAGAGAGGGTGAGAGGGGTAAGAGACGGACGACGATCACGAGCAAGGCAGTCGATACTGAATCAAGAGCGTGCAGGATCTAGGGGAAGAAGCCGACTCAGAAGGAGAGAAACAGAGGAACAGAGACAGAGGCAACATGACCAGAACTGGGCTCAGCAGTGGCAAAAGGAGGGACAAAGGCCGTATAACCAGAACCAGGCTCGGCAGTGGCAAAAGGAGGGACTTTATGATAAGGGACTGTACAAGCAAGCTACGCCTTTTTTCTTCTCCAACTTTCCGGATGATTGGGGTTATGCAGACATGTGGAAAACATTTGTAAAGTTCGGAAGGGTGTATGACATTTACAGTCCAAAGAGAAGAAGCAAGAACGGAAGTCGTTTCGGGTTTGTGAGATTCCTTGAAGTTAAAAACATAGAGGAACTGGAAATGCAACTTGATCAGATCCGGGTGGGAGGGCAAAAATTATGGGTGAACACACCAAGGTATAATGACATGAAGGGGGGGGGGGGGGAGCAGAAGAAGTATCATGAGACAAAGCCGAACATCCAAGACAGAAGCTACGCTGAGGTGGTGAAAGGTATGCAAGAAAGAAGACTGATTGAGGGAAGCAAACCTATGATTAATCAAGATCGGGAAAGAAGGCCAGTGAGAAGCAGAATCAGAACCGAATCTGGACACCGGAGATCTGGAATCAGAAAGGTTTGGCAGGAAAGAGGACAGGGAGAAAATTGGGCAAGGATTGAATATAATGTAAAACCTGAAGATTGTGCATGGTTAAAGGGATGTTATGTGGGAATGGTGCACTCCGTTGGGATGGTTCGAAATCTTCAGGAGAAATTTTACATGAAAGGCTACTTTCCCTGTCGAATTCGGGCCATGGGGGGCAAGTTGGTTCTATTAGATTGCGAAGATGAAGATGAACTGAAGGACCTGGTAGAAATGGCCTCAGATTGGCTAAACCAATGGTTTGAAAATGTGCGCCCATGGACACCAGAAGCAGTCGCAAAAGAGAGATTTGTATGGCTTAGATGCCAAGGGGCACCATTGAATGTATGGGGACCGGAGTTCTTTGAAAAGATGGCTAGTTCTTGGGGAAAATTCATATGCCTTGATGACAATACAAGCAAAAGAATGAGATTTGACATCGCAAGATTCTTAATCTCAACTCCGATCAAGAACACAATTTCAGTTCTTCGACAAATTAAAGTCAATGGGATCATCTACAATATGAAGTTTTCAGAGGAGGAATTTACCAACAGTTTCTTTTCTTTGAAACAAGACTTCCTTCCGGCATTCCAAAGTGATTCAGAAGAGCATGAAACATGGTCCACGGAAAGTGAATGGGAGAATCAAGAAGCCGACATTGCGGAAGTGAATGAGCAGGCTTATGGAAACAACACTCAGGTAGAAGATGATGACGTGGCACAGGGGCAGGAAAGGGAAAAAGTGAAGTTTCGAAAACAAGCCAGAAGGGAGAAAGAGAAATTGGTAGTCACAATGGAGGACAGCCTGGAACATTTTCAAATTTTGAATGAGACAGAAACTAGAATAGGGGTAGAGAAGGAGGTGCAGATACAAAGGTTTGCTGCGATGTCAGGAAAGAGGGATGAAGTGGAAGGGGAGCAGTTGGGCCGTAGTGAACAACCCAGGAGGAAACAAGGGGATATTCACTTGGGCCTTGAGGAGCAGTCCAGTGTTAATCAGGACGGGAAGCCCAACACACATATTGAAAAATCAGATGGTGAGGAATCAACAAATGCGGGCTGGACTCAATCACAAAAGAAGACGGAAAATAATAACCCAGCAATTATTGAAGACTCTTCTGGAAGCAAGGAGGCTGCGTTTGTCACTAAAGGGACCGAAGATAAGGATCCGTTCTGGAGAGGATATGAAAGAGAACAGGGATGCATAGAAGAATGGTTGAGCAGGCGAGCAGGAGAAAGCTCAAAGAAGAAAAAAAGGAAAATCAAACTGTACAGATCGGTGTATGCAAAATCAAGAGCAGTGGGAGCGGATGCAAAACAGAAGAAAAGACATGGAAAATAGAGCATGCAAGATGCAAAGAGGAGGACCGAACCAAAATTCCTAGCTAGCCCAAACGGGAAGATCGCGGGCGGCTCTATGGGAGACAACGGAATCCAAAACTGCAACAGAGGCCTGAAGAAGCAAATGCAAAACCAGCTAGCAAAGGATATCTGGGATCTTGCAAAACAGTTGGGGGCAGTGGCAGAGGATGACAAGGAGATAATTCAAAGAATTGAGGAGATGGAGAATAGAGATAGCCGAGCAAAGTCGGTTATGGAAAATCACGGCTCTGGGAGTGAGAAGAAGGTTAGTCATGATCTTAATGATATTGTTGTCCTTTAACATTAGAGGCCTGGGAGGGATTGGAAAAAAAAGACAGATTAGGGAGTTAATTAAGAAAGAAAAAGTAGAGTTTCTAACTATCCAAGAAACTAAGTTGCAAGCAGTAGATAGTAGGATTTGCAGAGGGGTTTGGGGTTCAGAGGATATGGAGTGGATCTCAAAACCATTGATGGGCTTATTGGGTGGATTACTGTGTATTTGGAATCCTAAAGTGTTAAAGATGATTGAGGTAATTGAGGGGAATAATTTCATTGGGGTATACGGAGTTTGGGGGGAGAAAAAAATACCAGTGCACATTCTAAATATTCATTCTCCTTGTCAATTGGTGGGTAAGAGAGCTTTGTGGAAAGAATTGCAGTGTTTGGTCTCTAGTAGAAATGGAAATTGGTGCCTGACAGGTGACTTTAACGCCATAAGAAGTATAGAGGAAAGAGCAGGTTGTAGGGGGATGTCTGCAGAAATGAGGGAATTTGAGGAATTCATACACAGTGCTGATCTGATTGACTTACCGTTAGTGGGTAGGAAGTATACTTGGTATAATTCCAATGGTCAATATATGAGTAGAATTGATAGATTCTTGATTTCGGAAGGATGGCTCTCAAACTGGGGTGATGTGAAACAATGGGGCCTGCGGAGATCAGTGTCTGACCACTGCCCGGTCCTCCTGAAGGATGAGAAGATCGACTGGGGCCCTAAATCATTTAAATTTTTTGATGCATGGCTGGAGCAACTCGGATGCAAAGAAACGATCAGAAAAGCTTGGAATTCCAGTGAAGTATATGGGGGGAACGAATTCAAGCTGAAGGAGAAACTGAAAATAACTAAGAAGGCACTAAAGGAGTGGAGCAACAATTCAATAGCAGATGTGGATAGCAAAATCAGGGAATCGGAAAAGATGATAGCAGTAATTGATGAACAAGGAGAGAGATCCACGTTGACCAACAGCGATGTTGAAAAAAGGAGAAATTGCTTTCTTGATCTATAGAAGCTCCTAAGAATCAAGGAGAGAATGTGGCAGCAAAAGTCAAGAATGTTATGGTTGAAAGAAGGGGATGCGAACACAAAGTTCTTCCATAGGTGTGTGAAAGGAAGAAACAGAAGAAACGAAATCAATTGCATCCAGATAAGTGGGGAACAGCACACTGGGGCAAAAGTAATAAAAAAAGAAGTGGCCCAGTACTTTGAAGACCTGTTCACAGAAGAGAAATGGAAAAGGCCAAAGCTTGAGGGGATCACCTTCAAACAGATTTCAGGGGCCGATAATGAAACCCTCACGGCCTCATTTTCAGAAAAAGAAATCAAAGAAGCAATCTGGGAGTGCGGATCTTCAAAAGCCCCAGGTCTAGACGGGTTCAATTTCAGATTTATTAAGGAGATATGGGAAGACATCAAAGTTGATCACTACTGCAGGAATGGGATTTTCGAACCGAAATATCGGTCCGAATATATAGGAAATCGGTCTGAATATATATATACGGACCGATATTGGTCCTTATAGTTGATCTGAAAAAAACCTGGTACGAATAAGTCAAATATACAGACCGACGTATAATCGGTTCGTATATATATACTATCCGGACCGAAATCGGTCTGGATATTTCAGTAAGAAATATAAATAATTATTG